TTTAAAACTGGAGGGACAGTCTTAGGTAGCAGTCTCATTACCCTGAGTGGAGTGCCACTACAGTACCAGATCCAGGACTGTCTGTGAAGAAAGTTAGGCTTTTTTTGTGTCTTGCTGATCATCAAGATGCTGTACTGATGAAACCACTTCTTATTCCTCCTGGAATCTATGTGCTTCTTGGATATTCATCCAAGTGGTGATGCGCACTTTCTGCTGACTGACCAGCTGGAATTGTTCCAGATGTTTCTAACTAAGAGCCTGTAAATACTTCTCCTTTGGATAGCATTTCTTCTGGCATTGCTTACCAGTGCTGTGGGTTTTCATTTACTATTTCTGAAGTTATCTGTAAGACTTGACAGTCTTAAAAAATTAGATGTGCTTGTGAACTCTGTGAGCTCTCTCTTCTTTGTGTGGATGGGACTTTTTTCTGTGCTCTGACTAAAACCTTGGGTGAAGTCTTTTGCCATATCCTGTAACTGATTTAATGCCTCGTTGCCTAACTTGCTTCGGTTTTCTTTCTTTCTCCCCTCTCCTCGTCTGTTCTTGCTAACCATTGTGGTAAGTGTTCTTTCATCCACCAGAGGCCTTGGACATGGGAGCAGTCATCAGGTGACCCTGTCTGTGCATGGTATTGGCAGGGACTGATTTCCTACATCTGTGAGAATCCCTGTGTTAAGAGTGCTTGGCTAGAAAGGAAATGTGGTTTGAATTGCTGCTTCTGGGCAACAGAATTAGTTAATAGAAATAATCACCTCTAATCTTCTGGTGAATAGAGTGAGATCAGGTTCCTTGGCCAGTACTGAACTCTTTTGTAGTTTGGTTGTCTTTTGGAAGACTGTGTTGCTGTTGAGCAACTTCCCTGTTGCTGCGTCTTGAGACTCATTTTGTGATGTATTTGTCTAGCCTGCTCCACTAGACAAAGATGTCACTGCTCCCCTGATGACAGCAAAACAAAAAAATGGTTCTGTAATTTTTTAAGAAAAGATTAACTGGATGAATATTTTTAATTCTCCATTTTCTTATCATGGATAGTCAGGTTTTTGGGAATCCTTTACCCTCCAGTGACTACATATGATTATATTTTCTACCTTCTCATGTCAACAGCTTACACAGGTATGAGCAGCCTATGTGGACTCTGCTCAGCTGCTTGATTGAAGCTGAACTTGTGGTAATGGTGATGTCAGATGGCGTTTCAGGACCAGCAGCCTGTGGAACTGATGGGATCTCCTTTTCATGGGAAAATGTCTGAAATAGAGGACAGCCCAGTACTTGGGTTCCTGTTACCCACTCTTGGAGTTGGCCATTTGGGAACCTGTGTCCTGCCTTCAAGTGGTGGGCACTTGTATAGAACACCTTTAAAGCAAAGAGGGCTCTGTTTTCTGTAGAGTGGGAGCATCAGATTATATCTGATGTTTTTCTGTCTTTACGATGAATGTTAAAACCATGTGGATCATATCTATGAACCAAAGTGGAGAGGAGGCCAAGAAGCTTTTTAAATACTTTTATCCTTGACATGAGCTAAATGTGGTGGAATTACTTCTGAATATGTGTGCGCCTGGATGCTACCCTGTGCGACCTGCTGTAGGTGAACCTGCTTTGGCAAGGGGGTTGGACTAGATGATCTCCTGAAGTTCCAACCTCTACCATGCTGCGATTCTGTGATTTTATGGGCTGGCTGAATGGTTTTGGAAAAGGCAGATCATGTTTTAAAGCTGATGGTCTCTGGTCGTTAGCACTGTATTAGGAATTAGAGCATTTTAACTTGTGAACCATGGTATGAGAGCTGCCTGTCGGAGTATCCTTGCTGGTAGTGAGGGCTCTTGTGGCTCTCTGCAGGAGGGCAGGTAAGCAAAACGTTAGGGTGAAAGGACACTGTGTGTTTTTGCCGTTCTGCTACTGGGTATTGCTTTTGTTTCTTCCCGTTAGCATTGGAGTGAAGTAGATGTGGGCTGGAATTGAAAGTCACAAGAGTTTTGGTATATTCAGACTTTTAATCCTTTCTGACTCGCTTCATTGCTGCCCTCCTCCACACTTTAAGCCAGATGTTTTGAGCTGTTGCTAACTATTCTCGTGCAGGGTGGTGGAGCCCACTGTCATTTTTCCGATAGCTTTTCTGGGTTTTTCTGTTCTGCTGTTACTCCCTGAGCTTTGTTACCTCAGCAGATTAAATCCCGGGCAGATTTTGTTCCAGCATTGCTCTGGGCCGTGGCAAGGAAGCGGCTCCCTTGTTAAGTTAATGACCTGCGTCCTGCCTCCAAGGCCTTCTTTTGCTGTGCAGCCCCAGGGTGATGTACAGCGTCAGTATTTATGAACTGGCTCTGTTCTCCTGTCATGGTTCCTCACCTAAGGACACAAATAGTGTTTTACTGTCCTTGAAGGCTCTTTCTGCTGCTTCTGCCAGTCTCTGCCAGCTGAATTGCTAGTTCCTTCCCTTTTCATAATGTATCTGACAAAATTGCTTTCCTCAGGACAAAGAAATAGCACCAATCAGCTCATTTATGTTTTATTTTCTGATGTAATCTGCTGTCCGCATCTTTGCATCAAAGTTTATTGTTCACTATCCCTCACTTCTATCTGCAGACGTGTTTGCTGTTCCCTTTTCATGCCCACTGCTCTTAGTGCTGTGCTCCTCCTCTGTCAGGATTTCATTCGTGCTGCTCTCCTCTCAGCTTGGTGTTTCTTGCAGTGCTTCAGTGACCTTTCAGGTGCCAGAGGAAGGAGAATGCTTTTTTGTGCACACTGAGCATCACCAGACACGACCTTATTAGCACATTCAGCTTTCCTTGAAGTTTCTCCATCTGTTCCCTCTTCATAAGGTCTCTTCACAGACTTCTGCCTGTGTCCTGGGCCTCAGCTCTTGTTCTTGTGCCTGTGTCCTGCATTCACCTCGAAGTCTTGTGCACTGGAGTGAAAACTGCCCTGTACTGAGAATCCAAGTGTCTGTTTCAGCCACTTCCCATCTTGTTTCCAGTCTTGAATGGAAATCTTTTCTCCTAGGAAATACCCTTCTTCTCACTTGCGTTTTTGTGATGCTTCCTCTGCTGGTTTCTGCCAAGTGCTCAGGAGACAAGTTTTCTTGTAAACACAAAGTTGTATTGCAGTGAAGTTAGTACAAAGCCAACTAAAACTGCTTACTTGGAAGCAATTGGGGTCTTTTTGCAACTAATTATTTGAGGAACATAGTTCTTAAAGGTGAGACATGTCTCTGTTTTCATGCTGTAGTAACAGCATGTTGCACCAGAAACGCCTGTTGTACCAGTACTCTAGCTGTACTTGCTTGTTTGCAGTGTTATGCCAGGTGGAGTGCTCCTCCCAAACCCCTGTGGTTAGATCCAGTAGAAGTGCTAAGGAAAGGAAGTTGGCTAGGGGACCAGCCCAAAAGGCTTGTAGATAAAGGCGGGAAAAATATAGGAAAGTACGGGCAGAAAGATTAAGGAAAGAATGAAATCTTTTAAAGAAAAGTACTGGCAATGGTCTCTGCGCATCTGTGCTACTCTCAAGTTTGAGTTTGTGTGTGTTTGCATGCGTGTGAAAGGCTGCCTTAGCAAAGGAGAGTTGCAAGGAGGATTAAGGACAGCACTGAGAATGTTTGCAAAAGCTGTTCCATAGGAGGCAGGAGCATGTGCCAAGTGCTGGCTTGAAACATTCCTAGGGCAGTGGTCGTAGCTGGTGTCATGTGCCAATAAGAGGTGCAGACTGACCTCTTGATGCTGGCAGAGAGAAAGTCATGATGTTGGGAAAAGTCAAGACAGATCACCTGTATTTTACGTGGAAGAGAATGGAAGACAGGAAAGAGTAGCAAAGGTACCATTAAATGACAGAACAGAGTAACAAAATTTTTATTGTAGGAATGAGAATGGTAATGTTACTTTGGCCAATACTTGATTACAAGGTGGTACAGTGACTGAGGCACGCTCTAGTCTCAGCTAGTTGCTTTCATTGGGTAAATCAATAGGGAAAAAGATGATCATATGAAGACGACAACTTGTTCTAGTCAAGATGTGAAAGTTTAGGAATTGAGTCAAATAGGGTTGCTAGCTTGTGACCCCTATTGGCAGGGAAAATACTGAAGTTTTCCAGCAGGGGAGAAAAGCAAAAAGTAGGGGGTAGGTAGCAATATGAATTGAAGACCTTAGTTACTCCTCTTGAACTAGAATTAGTGCCTAGGTATCCATTCAAACAGAAGGAAATGGCAGTGTCCTGGCTGCACAGATATAATAGTTATTGCTCACATGTAACATGGGGGAAGGAGGACAGAAACCCATAGACCCCAGAATACTAGGGGATAGTGGCCCATCATGGGGGCAACCTCAGTCCTGCAAGTTTAAGAGGACAAGGAAATGGAAAGTATGAAGGTTAATTTAGGCACTAGGAACAGAACTAGGAAGGGATAGGTAAGGAAGGTGAAGGAGGATGGTATTTTGAGAAGGGTAATGTGGTCAGATATGTCTGTGGTAACAAACAGGTCAGAGAAAATGAGTCAAGAAACCAGCTCTGAATTTTGGGTAAGGGTTTGGGGTGTAAGTCAAAAGGAAGTAAAAAGAGGGAACTTCATGGAACTTTACAGGTGAAAGTCAAAAGGGACATCAGTGGCACTGACATGCAGGTGGGGTCAGTTTTTGGGTTGAGGGGCTTGTTTGGAGGGTTTTGAAAAATAAGAATGTGGGGAGAGATGGCAAAACGTGAGCATGGAGGAAAGAGTAGGCAGATGTGAAAGAAGGGTACTGAAGCGTTAGAGGAGAACAAATAGGCGGTCAAAGATATTTAGAGTTTGTTTTGACGCTGAGGAGGAGTGGGTGTATGTGAAGGACACCCATCTGTTACTTTGAGATAATGGAAGGAAATAGGTCACTAAGTGAACACACGAAGCAAAGGGCATGGGGAATTAATAGACTGATTGGGCTGAGGGAGAACTTGGCTGTGTGCATGGGTTTGATTTGTGAAGTGTCATATTTGCTACATGCTCTGTAAATCTCCATTTCTTGATTATGTTTTTGCAGTGCGGCTCCATGACAGTATTTCAGAAGAAGGTTTCCATTACCTCGTCTTTGATCTGTAAGTGTCTGTCTTTGGCTTTGATGCTTCACCAGTGATACAGGCACACGGATGATTGACTAAGAGTAGAATAAAAAGCACCTGCATTAATATAATTCTCCATTTCTCTTTTGAGACCTGTAGAAACCTCTGACCTATTTGACAAAAACTAATTGACTGTGTGGTAGGGGGTGGACCAGGAAGGCTCCTGGCAGCAGGTGTAAGCATGGGATGGCAAAGGATGGCTATCCTGTATAGGGAGGCTGTTTGTATATTTTCTGAGGCAGCCTGGAGGGAGTCAAAAGAGGAGTGTTCTGCCCAAGCTTAGCATATACTAACCTCTGTAGAGGTGCATGGGCAATTCGTGTATACTGCTGGTGAAATGGCAGCCCAAGGGGTCGGTCACATGGATGTACCAGTGCTGGTGCCGTGGTGGTGGAGCTCTGCCCTAGTTTCCCTGTGCCTTAGGTTGGTGGTGGAGCTCTGCTCTGGCTCCCCTGTGCTGCAGGTCTCTGCACAGTTTGCAGAAAAGGGCCCAGGTGGGTGACCACGTACGTCCCGTGCAGCCTTGAGCTAGACCTGCATGGGCTCTGTAACCTCCCTTGTTCTTTTGCACTCCAGGGTTACTGGTGGGGAGCTCTTTGAGGATATTGTTGCCAGAGAATATTACAGTGAAGCAGATGCCAGGTAAGACTGTTTTCAGACCCTTCTGTGTATGTGCCACATGTGTTGGCAAGTGGAATGAGTTTCCTGACTGCTGTTCTGTGCATGGCTTTGTTCTGACACTCTTGCTCCTTGTCTGGAAAAAAACAATTCCTTTCTCTGCTGTTAGCATAAACTGTTGTCATGGGTCAGCCTGACTCACCGCCGCTTGCAGACGCCGCTGTCTTTGCCACTTGCTGTGCTCTTTGCTGGGAGATCCATTGCCAGCGGCTTTGCCTGCCTGACCTTTCTGGTGGGTGGTGTTAGTGTGTCCTTGGTGAGCAAACGTAGGGGAGAGCTGTCCCGTGGCTGTGAAAGTGCTGCCTGTTTGGCCTCTGCCTTCTCCTAGAAGGGGTCCCAGTGATGTGTCGTGGCTGCTCTGCAGACCCATTCGATTTGCCTGTGTCTAGGTAATGGTTTATGGAGCAGGGGGGGAGAGGGGACTTTGAAGGCTATGTTTTTGTGGAAGCTCTCTGACTGTGAGCTGGTTGGCGCAGTGAGAAGAGGCACAACATGTGAGAGAAACCTTTATATTTTATTAGTGAAAATATTTAGAGTTACGTCCTTATGAGTGAGTCTCCTCTCTCCCATGCATGAGCTTCCTGCAGTGGCCTGTGCTTGTCCCTCTGCTGTTTACGCAGGGCGGGTGTTTAGTTCTGCAGTAGCTGAGGGTGTTCTCTGACCCGTCTGTCTGCTGGATATGCAGCATTTAAATCAAAGCTGGGATTAGGCACCTCCTGTTCCACTTTAGCAGGGGCTGGGAGTGGCCCGATGGTGACATTTCATCCCTGCTTATTCGGCACCCGTGTTCTTATCCCATCCTAACCCTTGCTGGAGCAGGAATTAGGGAAGCTGTGAAACAGGAGGGGTAAGAAGGGAGTAGTGAGTGCTGCTGCAGGGTGAGCGTGGCAGGCAGTGCTGTGAGGAAGATCATCCTGTGTGCAAGGAAGGAAAGAGTATGACCTGGTCTGTTAGTGTAGGTGCTGTTGTGGAGTCTGTAGGTGCTTATTTGCTTTCCCTGTGGTACACTCACAGCCTCTGTCTTCTGGGCATTGTACAAAGCTTTCAAATGAGGTATTACACTGAGCGCTCTACCATGAGCTGTCTGATGGTGGGGAAGGCCAGTGGGCTTATCATCTCTGATGGAGCTCCTGGCAGAGAACTGAGAGCCCTGTAGATGTTTTCAGTGGGGTGCACAGATTTGTAGGCATAGCATCTCAGACAGAAATACAGTCACTCAAACTGTTCCACCTTGAAGTTAGGAAGTTTTGAGGTTATCCATCATCATCCTTCCCCACTCTGTTTCCTGAAATGGTCAAGAGCTGGCAGTGACTGACACTGCTCAGGAAAATTATGGCAGAGCTGGGGAAAAAGGAGAACTGTCTGTTGCTCTGTGAGACTTCCTGAGGGTGCTCAGCCCTCCTACTGTCAGCCGGCCAGGTCTTGCAGTGCCCACAAGATGACAGAGTGAAACTCCTCCCTTTCTCTCCCCATGCCGAGCTGAATTCCAGAGCAGGCTGGGAGAGCGAGGTCTGTGCCAATCCGCCGTGCTTGGCTCGCCTGGGACACCTCACACTTTTGCCATTTTTGGCCAGAAAATCTCTCTCGCTCAGACTCAGCTCTGTTCTAATTATACATTTTTGTTTTGGGAGTGGGGAGATATTCATGGACTCCAACCCTGAGGATTGTACTGCCAGCTCTGAAGGGGCAGGGGTAACATATACATAGTGCTGTACCTCCTTTCCTCTTCCTCCCCTCACCCTCTTCCCATCGTTTCCATCAGCCAATTTACCTTCCCTCAAATATTTCACTGATTTCAATTTGTTTTCCCCTGAGATTTGTAGAATTTGGTGAGGGGACTGACTGACCCTGCAGTGAGGACACAGACTTCTCTGAGTTGCCCACATCTGGGTGCATACTGTCCGGCCATAGTTGTCAAAATCCCTACTCCATTCCACATTCACCCCGGGAGACAAGTAACTGTTTAGCAGAAGAGATGTTTTCAACCAGAAGTCTCACCCATGGGTGTGTTGTGCTGTTCTTATGCGACAGGTGTAAATAACATCTTGCTTTTGCCCCTGTGGTTACAGCAGTGAGTGGCAGAGACACTGTTTTCTGTGAGCACACAGCACTTAACAGGGAATGAGTCTGCTTTTCAGATCACTAACCCCTTAAGTGGAATCTGTACTTAAAAGGCACCCAGGGTGTGTGTGCACGTTGTGTATGTAAAGTGCTTGAGATGCTGCTCTGAAAGCTTTGCAAACTGGCAGACACTCAGGAGTCGTCATCCTGAATTTGCCAGGAGAGGCTGCTGCTCTCTAAAAGTTTATTCTTTGCTCAGGACTAGCCCAGCTGAATGTTTCTTGGACCGATTTGAGTCTTGCTTGCACAATCTTGGCTGCTGTTTGCAGATACTTGGGCGCCTCGGTTCTCCTGTATTAGCTGAAGGAACAAGTGAGATGCTTAGTGTGATGGGGAGGAAAAGGAGATGATGGGAGGTAGGAGAGAGGCTTTGTGGTCCTGCTGTAGCTAGGATGTTTAGCATCCTGTTTGTTGCTCAGGGGACTGGGGGTGTCCAGCTGTGACATCCAGTGGGCATGATGAAGGGACTCAGGCTGGGGAACTGAACTCTCCCTGGTACAGGTATAAAAGTTAGGGAGATAGTTCTGGAATGAGATGAGATGCCAAGTGTATGTGTGTGTGTGCATAACTGTGTGTCTCTCCCTTTATCTTGCAGCCACTGTATTCATCAGATACTGGAGAGTGTGAATCACATTCACCAGCATGATATCGTGCACAGGGACTTGAAGGTAATATTTCCTCCGTGCCACAGAGGCTGAGGAGAGCAGCCAGGGGATCATTGGAAGAGGCAAGACAGGAATGCTGTGTTGCCAGCTGGCAGGGTTTTTTTAATTTGAACTGGGCTCAGGGGTTCCTGAAGCATAAATTTCGCTCCTTCAGAGTTTTCTAGAGGGTGTACTGAACTCCCAAGGAAGTTTTCAGTCTTTGTGAACTTTGCCAGCTCCCAGCCTCTCTGAGGCAGCTCCAGGATGGAGATGTGAACCTTGGAGTGCAGTAGGCTTTCAGAAAAGCTTGGGTAGGATTCATTATAATGAAGGACGCTTTCTAGTCTGCCATTGAAGAGATCTCTAGAGACCTGGGGCAATCTGTTCAATCTGCCAGGATGAGTTTGTCTGCACAGAGCAAGTATATTTTTATTCTGCACTGTTGCCAAACACATGCCATTGGGCTAGGGCAGAGATGCACAACAAGAATTTTTCATGTCATTTCTTTCTTCTCTCATCAGTAGAAGCACTTTTAATCTGAAACAAAAACTGCTGGCCAGTTAAACACTGGGTGAATCAACCATTTGCCACATTATAACACATTTATAGACCCAGAGCCCCCACAGTGTAGTTACTTAAACTCCCTTCCCATGCAGTGCCAGCTGTACTGGAAGCTGGGCAGGCTCCAAAGTGAAGGGGTTTGTGCGAGAAGGTCGGCTTGCCCTGCAGCCCTCTCTGTCTAAAGTGGGAATGGTGATGGCCACCAGTGGTCCAGTTAAGTTAATGCAGGATGACACCTGCTACTAATGTTGGTTTTGGTTTGTTCATAAGGGAAAAAGTATAAAAATATTTTGCAAAGAGCAAGGTAAAAGCATGTTCCAAGCTCAGTGGCAGTGTTCCCCGAGTGTTCAGTCTAGTGGACAGCTGTTAACCCTTAGTGTTTCTGGCAAACTCTCATGTAACGCTTTTGGCCCTCTGATTCAGAGCACTATGAAAAGATGCAAGTGATCTACTGTGGAATGGCTGCTCTGGATTAGAGCTGGCACCTGCTCGAGAGAAAGTGGCCTCTAAGAGGCACTACTGCCCAAAATTAGGGCCTGTGCGAAAATCAGTAGTGTTTTCCAGTACAGGACGGTTTACGTTTTCCTTCGCATCCTGTGTTCACATATAATCTGTTTTGTTTGTGTGGAGTTGTGAACTTGTTTAGAACTTACCAGCTGCTACATACTCCCCACTGTAGTTAATGTGTGTCTTCTGTTACTTGCTCTGATTCACAGAAACTATGCAAGCCTGAGGAGCAGACGTTCCTTTTAGCAATAAAAGATCGCATCCTCTTTATTTATTTAATATAATCCTATTTATTTAATACTTAGCTTCTTGCCAAAAGCTTGGCCTTCAGGGTCAGTGTGTAATAACTGCTAGGCTTGCTTCAAGCGAAGTTTTGTCTTTTGCACCTCCTTTTCATAAGCCTATCTTTTGGCTGACATGCTCTTAAAGAACATCAAATGCGGAGTTGCCCGTAGGGACCATAAGAAATTAGGGAACGCATTCACATCCTTACCAGAAAGTATGTGAAACCTGAGACGACTCATATGTTGGCAAACAAGCACATGGATAAGCACCATTAGCCTTAAGGTGTTTGTTGTTGTATGTTAGAAGCAAATAGTGCTTAGCTAGCACAAGCCTAGCCTAAACATCAGTGTTTAGTCAAGCCAAGCCCAGGTATGACCTGAAGTTGGGAGGGATTTTAAGAAGAATGCATTGGTCTTCTGCTTCTTTACACTGGTGAATTTTCATCACTGTAGCTTGATTAACACAATCTTTTCCACTTCCCACATAGTGAAAAGCCAGTGGCATCAAAATGCATTGGGACCCAACCCAGTTCCCCTTCTTTCAGTGCTGCTTCTGGCAAGGACTGTGATGGGCAAGGCTGTTCTCCCTTTGTTCAGAGCAGAAGCAAGGCACATGCCCAGTACTTTAAGGCAGGTGAATGAGCAAAGCATCTTGTTCCTGTCAGAACAGGGATAGAGAGTTGCTGTGGGATGAAACTGGTGAGCAGGCTGCAAAACAAGACCTTCATCTGATTTATGAAAGTGAGACAAGCTCCTGTTTCTGGATTTCCAGGCTTCCATCTTGCTTGGTTAAAAACTCAAGTTGATATAAATTGCAAAAATGATCAGAAGGAGGTAGGAAGAGAAATCACATTTGTCCTGCCTGTCTGCAAGTTGGGTTTCTTGCAGACCCATTCTTTCTGTAATAGCTACCACCTTAAAGCTCTGGGGTTTTGAAGGGTCCCATGTAACTAGCCGCTCTGGTGCTTCAGAGGAAGCTGCTGACTCTCAGTGCAATTTTTGGAGTTGTGTTAAGCCTTCTGCTGAAGTCCTCTGCTGAATTATGATTTTGGGTGAGATTCATGAGAGGTGGAGCTGTGAGGGTCAAAAGTCTGTCTCCCTTTCCTGGCACATGGGGGAAGTGACATGGCTGCTTGCCACATAGGTGACAGTGGCAGTAGAAGACAGCATATTTTATGCTGCTGTAAATATGTAGCATGAAAAAACAGCTTACAAGAGTACTCAGTGCTGTGCTGCTTATGCCAATTTGAGGACGATGCTTTTTCTGTAAGGGATGAAAGCTACTGCCTATCCAGATGATGCCTTCCCACATTATGGCACTGTATTTGGCAGCCCTTATTAGCATCATATTTACTTTTTCAGTGCCCTGGGGACTGTGTAATCTTCATGGGGAGAAACATCACTGCAGATTGTATCTACTGCATCTTCCCCCCTTTTCCTTCACCCCCCCCCCCCCACAATTACTGTGCGGGGATGACAGAACAAATTCTGGGTTCTGTGCTGCAGGAACTGTACTGCCAGTGCCCTCTGGTGTCAGCATGTAACATATGGGCTGGGTTGGGAGAGGCTCTGGCTCTCACAGAGGATTTGTGTTAGACTTGAGAATTTTCTGCAACTCTAAGTCAAGGCTGTTTGTTGCTGTAGCTCTGCCTTCACCTGAACAGCTTTAGTCTATGCTTGATGAAGTCTGTCAGCAGATTGAATGTAATGATGTGAATACTGAGGTAGGATGCTTTAACAAGGATGTCAGTCTTTCCTTTTTACCCCCTTTTTTCTTTCTTCTCCCCAGCCTGAGAACTTACTACTGGCGAGCAAATGTAAGGGTGCTGCTGTCAAACTGGCTGACTTCGGACTGGCTATAGAAGTCCAGGGAGAGCAGCAGGCCTGGTTTGGTAAGAGTGTCTGAGCTTTCCCACTTTTGCTCCCTGCTTTCCTGGTGGCTGGTTGAGTTGCACCCTCCCTGACTACTTTCTCTCGGCTCTTCCAGCACGCTTATGTGTATTTGGTATTGCTGCTTCCTTTCCAGGCATCTCAGCCTCTGGGTCCTTGGGCACAAGCCTAGGTGCAGTAGAAAGAATGTGATAAAAGGCAACAGAAAAAGTGTCTGTGGGTTTCTCTGTTTTTCTTCTCAGTTTATGGTAGATGCTAGTGTCAGAGATGAATGCAGCTGCTAAGTTTAGACTCTGATCTGAACTTTCCTACTGCTTAAGAGTGTAGATATCTGGAATTTTGTTTGGTCATTTTGCAGAAATGCATTTGACCTGGCCTTCCTCAGACACTTTGGATCTGGCCTTATCTTTGTTTAGCTAAAACATAATTAGAAACGAGACCTTCTCAGGCTAAACATCAGCTCTGAGACTCTGCAGTTCTGCAGAGATTCTGGAGAGATGACTGCTTCTCCCGGTCTGCCCACACCATTGGCAGTCAAATGTATCCCATCTGTGTCTTGTGTTTTCAAACTCCAAGCTATTATGCTTAACAATGATATAAGGCCTGGCATATGAATTTGTGCCCAGCTGGTTGACACGGTCCCTCTTTCTTTTCTGTTTTTCCTGCAATACACAGACACTCAATCTCATCTTATTTTTCTTTTTTTTTTCATTTTTTTCCTTCCCTCTTTCTGTTGGTTTAGCAAGAGGTAGCTCTAGCAAATATGAGATGAAGGGTGGGAAATGGATTTTGGAATTTGCAGGTTACCACTAGTGGATTTTGTGATGTGGCAAGATCTCTTCTGCTTGGATACTGTAAGTACTTCATGTCATCTATTTTCTGGCAGGGTTTGCTGGCACTCCAGGCTACCTCTCCCCCGAAGTCTTAAGAAAAGATCCTTATGGAAAACCAGTGGATATATGGGCATGTGGTAAGATTCTGTCAAAACCTTTTACACTTAAACAAGACCGTTTAATGTAGAAGAGCAATTTCTTATCAACTATTTCTGGGAGGGTGCACAGTGCTGCTTCTTACTGGGTGGAGAGAGGAGGGCACACTTGAGGATAAGCACCTTGTGTAGATGGAGTTAATATTGGAGCCTGAACTCATTTGATTCTGGCTCCTGATCCTTTCCTCGGGCCAACTGTCAGATGTTTGAGACTCAGGAGATAGGACCTGTCTTTGCAGAGTCAGTTGTTTAGATAACTGTAGCTATTTCCTATCACACTAAGTAGAAGATGAAATACTGAAGAGAGATTTTTTTTTTAAAGGAAAAAATTAAGTGTAAATGTATCTGTGACTTATGAGTTTAAAGATATGTGATATTGATGTTGCCTGACTTGAACTAAATGGTTCTCTGCAGGCCAGGAGTATTAGCTTTGTCAGTAGCATTTTTGTCCCAAGACCATGCATAGTAAGCATCTAAAAGCCTAGTCCTTCCTAAAAAGTCCTTTGCTGCCCAGCGACCCCAGGAGATGTGGCTTCATTTTATTCTGAGAGCAGCTGGGAGTTGTGGCTCACCAGCCATGATAGCCAGAGGAGGGTAGAAGGACATCATGCACCTTGTTCTAGCTCATGGCGGGTGGGGTTAAGAGCTGAACACGAAGGGCCCG